GGGGCCGTGCCCCTGCGGCCCTGAGGGGGCCCAGCCTTGCCCTCCCACCGGGGTGGCCCCCATCGCTGCCGCCGAGGTGGAGGGGCCAGGCCGTGCCTGTGGGCCCCCGGGTGTTGCCCGTTGTCTGTTAGCGCAGCGGTCACAGGCTGCTGGTAGGGCTGCCCTGTGTGCCAGAGAGGCCGCTTCTCCCCTCACGCTCTGTCCCGGCACCCGAGGGAATCAGAAGGGACTAAGGCACCAGGAAAAGCAGCCGGCTGTGCTTGCAAGGGGGGACATCCACGGATGCTGAGGAGAAGGTGACCCGTGAGCCTACAGGCACAGCCTGGCATAAAGGCTTTTCTCAGAAAGGGGCTTTTGAGAGGACTAAGGCGTGTGTGAGGATGCTTACTTTTTGTCACAGAAGTGGTTAAAATCTGTCTTCTCAAAGCTGCTGCAAAGACTCAGGTTTGGGGAGAGACTCTGTGAATTTTAGCAGATGGGTGTTTAGGGGAGAACGTTCTGCTTTACCAAACAGGAGTCACAAAGTGAGAGAAAGCTGTCTTTAAAAAACATTAGTGACACAAAGCCATACTGCTGACAGCAAAGTAGGATGCAGGCATGTCTAGCAAGAAACTTCAGGCAGGGTTATTCTCAGGTTTAATCATAATAGAACAAACATCCTAATACAGAACAGCCAGCCTGCTCATGGGGTCTAGCATTTGTGAACAGAACTGTTAGATTAACTTCAAATCTTGTTTTATCTGTTCAGACTTCAGAAATCCTTTACTGTGTTTCTGTCTCGACACGTGATTAAACTTTTAGTTTTAAGACCTGCAAAATGGCAGGTGTCTCATATGAGTGGGCCCTGCCTTTGCCAACCACAGAGAGTTGGCATCTCATAGCAAGAGTCCAGACAAAATGGAAAAAGAAAGGATTAAGATTCAGTGGCAGGTTTAGTTATTAAGATTGGGGGAAAAAATCTGCAGCTAGACACTTTGCCACATGTGATTTCTTTAAGGCAGATTTGCTGAAGCAGACAGATCTTCTATGTTTGATCTCTTTTGTCTCCCCTGGGGCCCCAGTCCTCTGTGATGAGAGCAAACATCTCCAGTGCTCATAGAAAGGCTTAGTCTTTGTAAGATGGATGAAGATGGAGTCTTAATACTAGTTACTGAAAACAGATGGAAAGGAGGCTAGTGTGGGGTTTTTTCTGTTTGGTAAGCTTAGAAACTATAAAAATACGTATTTTCTTCATCTTAAGCTTGTCCAGGGATTTACAGCATCCCTCTCTCAGAAGAACAAAGCTGCTTTGAGTGGAAGGAAACCTGCAACCAATGTCCTGAAGCAGCAGCTCATGGTACCTTTGTGGGTAGGTAGGATGTATTGCTCATAGGAAAAAGTGATGACTTGTCTAATACCAAATTTCTAACACTTTAAGTATCCGGATGTTCTTCAGTCATAGTATCATAGTACCATTTGGGCTGGAAGGGACTTTTAGAGGTCATCTAGTCCAACCTCCCTGCGGTGAGCAGGGACATCTCCAACTTGATAAGGTTGCTCAGAGCTGACCTTGAATGCCTCCAGGGATGGGGCTTCCACCACCTCTCTGAAACAGTCCTTACTGTTTGCTGGTTTATTTTATATCAGAAATGAGTTCAGTGCTGATGAGGGTGTGCTTGCTGTTATTTATCCATGCAGGTGATACAGTGCACAGCCTCCTTTAATCGGTCATTGCAGGGCAAAAAATAAACTGTGAGAATCCTTCCTCTGTTCCTCAGAGACCATGAGGTCAGATGTGCTTTACAGCATTCCCTGGAGCTTAGTAGAGTTAGGTTGTCTGCAGAAAGGGGAGATCATTTACAGAGCGGGGACTTCTCACAGGGAATACCAGCCTCCATGTCAGGCACAATACTCTGCAGAAGCCATGGGGCACATGTAGACAAAAAATTTTTTCATTTCCAGATGGAGAGAGGCAGGTACCTGCTCTCCAAATCATGTAGTAGTGTCCTAATTGTATGTCTCTGTTGTACTCTGCGTCTTTTGTCTCCTCTGTACGGAGAAGGCAGGAAATCATGTTAGAGGAAGTGCCCGCTAGCCTGCCAGAATGCTAAGGCTGGTATATATTTCTGGTTTTGGAAGCTATCTTAGAGTGGCTGAAAAAACCCAGAAGTATAGTAGAGGACTGGGATGTTGTGACCTATCCCACTGAGAATCTGTTAGTTTTCTTTGTGTCTGATGAAAGGGGAGAAAGCTTGCAAAGTTATGCAGGAGGGAAGGAAAGTCCTTGATACCATGTGCATTACGTTGGCTTTTTTTCCTTGCTTTGCTCTGTTTTGGGTTACAGGGCAGAAGTGAGGATTTTTCTTTTATAGAAGCAGTTGGAGTGAAGGACATGAGCTTGCAAATTTGAGAAAGGAAATTTTCAAAACTTGACTGAGTGAGGTCCTGAGCAATCTGGATGTTCTTCAAGCAGGAAGTTGGACAAGATGACCTCCAGAGGTCCCTTCCCACGTATGCTTTCCTGTGGTTTCTGACTCTCCCAGTCAGAAAAGACAGGAAAGCATTTCTGTGAGGAGGCAGGAATATCCAGGCAGATGTGTCTGTCAGTGCCTAAAAGCAAAGAATGTGAAATGAAACAAAGATATAAAGACTTCACCTTGAACCAATGGTAAGAGATTTGAATCTGCAGTCTAGAGAGGTCAGTTGGGGGTCAGATAGTATCACCGAAGTGCTAGGATGCACAGAGTAAACTCTTAGGAGTTGTCTTGAGATCCTGCCTTTTTTCAAGCTCCTCATGGTTTCCCCGAATCTAGAGGGGGTGGTGGGGAGAAAAAAAAAAGTTATTCAATTTTTGTTATATCTGAATTGGAAACCCTTTGTAGATTCTTTTAACTAGATGTTGCAAAAAAAAAAATTTTTTTGAAAAACAGGTGGTTTTTTTCATAGCTGAAAGATCTGCCTGAAGAATGTGGAGGTCAGTATCTCTACAAAATTAAGCTTTTCTTTTGGGCCACTCTTTACATAAATAATTGTTAGAATACATTTTCGATCAAATACAGTGGTGCACATACAATAGAGGAGATGGAATTTCCTGACTGGAGCTCAGAGTTAGTGCATCAGCATAAGCTTTGTCTGGTAGAACTAACTTTAAAAACCACTGAAATGCAACCATCCCTGCGGTGGAACGTAGCAGTTATTTGAAAGTGACTTTTATGTAATTGAAATTTATGTAACTGAAAAAGCCACAAAGGAAAGAAGTAAAAGTCAGGAGGTGCAATTTGATAACTCTGAAATGTTTTCAAAGCTGACAAACATTCTGGAATAATTTGTGAATCACTTTGTTCTTTGAAACAAAATGTACTGTCTGTTGCTCATGGAGATGAGGACAGACGGTTACTATCAGAGGGAGTATCTGACTATAAACCTGATATTCATCTCTCTCAGTTTAACTCATGTGATATGAAAATTCTGCTGGTATCAGCAGTTAGAATTCCTTTAGAGATTTCTTTCATTGTTTGGTGGGAGTTGTAGGAAAACTACATTTTTGCTGTTTATACAATAGCTTTATGTTTTTGAATGTTTTAATGTTTCTCCCAGACTAGTCCAACAATGCGTACTGTGAATAGCTCAGAGACTCCCTGGCTACTAAGATGTACGTGTGCGAGCCATGTGAGAGAACAGGACCTCCAAAGGCCTTGGCAGGTGAGTGACTCTCAACATTCCTTCAGCTGGAGTTTCTACTGTGAAGAACCAAAGTTCAGGACACATGAGACCAGTATATCGGGAACTGGGTGTAACTGAGCTCCTGTCTTGGGACTGGCCGCCTAATACCACTGAAGTTCTAGACGGTGATCTGGTCGGTCTGTCTGCTCTCCAGGACTGCTGTCCCCGGCATGTGCCTGAATCCATCTGTGAGTCCTGCTTTGCAGGAACATCTTTGTGCTTTTGTCCCTCCCTCCTAGGCACACTCAGAAATATGTCTTACAGGAAGACGGGTGTGCTCTGTCCTTCCTGTCAGCTTGTTGTAGGCTGAGGCCATCCAGCATCCAAGTATTGCATGCGTCTTCCAGAGGAATCCCAAAAGTTATTGCTGGTCAGCAGTATTAGGACATTCAGAAATGATACTGCAGCCTGTCTTACATATGCATTAGTATGCTGCTGACTGAGTAAGCGGAGGTCTGATATTACAAGAGGTGCTTAAACTGTGAGTGGGTAGAATTGAACCTATATATATCTATATCTATCTATCTGTCTTCAGAGAGCAGTGCTCAGATCATGGCTTTAAATTGGGATATCCCAATCTCCATTGTTTCTGTCTCATCTGTGTGAAATGTTCTCTTTCTTCTACCCTGAAGTATTCCTGAGGACTGCTACAAAGATGCTTTTTCGTACTTCCTGTGCAGAAATAACTAGGTTTGCAAGGCAGCACAGTACGAAGATGTTAGGTGAACTTCTTGCTGTTCTATCCCAGTTTGTAGCTTGATTGTGGAACCTAGATGAGAACCTGATCTTTGTAAAGCAGATTGGCTTTTTATACAGACCGTTTCCTTTTTTTCTTCACATTTATCCAGAGGTTCTCCTCAGCACCAGCAAAGAGGGGCACAGCAAATACTTTTGACTGCAGTAGACATTTTGGGAACAAAAAGAGTACCAAAGATTGGCAAACACAGAGAGACTTCTGCTGTGCAAAGGTATGAGTGGAAGAATGAAATGGAATGGAAGGTATGAAGGGAGGAATGAAAAACAGTTATTTGCAAAGTCCTGTAAAATCTGAGATCTGTTTGTCAGTAGGAAGGGGAACAGCCCAGGCTGGAAGGCACCTTGAAAGATCATCTGGTCCAGCTTTCGTGGGAAAGGAAGCCTAGATGAGATTATCTGGCTCCCTGTCCCATCGCAGCTTGAAAACCTCTGGTGATGGGAACTCACCGCAGCCCTGGGGAGGTTGTTCCGGTGAATGATTGATCTCACTGTAAAAAAATTTTCTTATATTGAGGTTAAACCTCTCCCAGTGCAACTTGAACCCTTTGCCCCTTGTCCTCTCCATGTGGCTCCTTGTGAAGAGACGGCCTCCGTCCTCTTCCTAGCCACCCTTTCAGTACTGGCATACTGTGATGAGGTTCTCCCTGAGCCTTCTCTTCTCCAGAGAGAAGAGACCTAACTCCTTCAGTTGAAGGAGGCCTAACTCCTTTGGCTTCGTAAGGATTCCTCAGACATGTGTCATCCTGAAGGAAAACTTTTCACCTGTTCACCAATGTGTACGTTCTGAGTACGTTCTGCTAGGGGTTCTTAGCTGGAGAGGTGGCCATGTCTCCCTGGTGCTGTTAAGGTACTAGTTTTAGAAAGGTTCTGTGATGATGTGAAGTAGATCTGTCAGATGTAACGCAACTGGTTATTTCAGATAGTAGGATGAAAGGTCCTTAAAACAAACCAGAAATTTAGATTTCCCCTTTCTCATTTGCTTTTGGGTTGTTTTTTTTTTTTTTTTGATACTGCTTGCTCCTCTCTGCCTGCTGTCTCCTCCCTGCTTGCTGTGATGTATGGTGTCCTGCTCACGTCACCTCAGGGTGAGAAGCCTGTTGGGAGTATGGAGCTGATCAACAGGGGCAAGGCAAACATGACTGGAAACTACCCTGTTTATTGGGATAAAAAATTACTATTAGGCACAGGGAGCGGGGTGCTAATTTTCCATTCTGTGCATCAGATGCATTCCTTGAGTCTTGCACTGCCACCAATGTGGTAGGCTTGTGCAAAAATGCAATGGCTGTAGCTCAGTTTTTAAGTGGCACAAGGTCGCAGCAGGGATGACTTTGAATTCATCTACAGAAACCACAGGAGGTAGGCAGCAGGTCAAGCAGATGAAACGTGAATGTTTCAGCCATGCCTGTGGCTTAGGTCTAAGTAAAAGGAGGTCACTTGAGGATTAACTTGGGTTGGTAGAAATGTTAGTATGGATGTACTGAAATTGATTTAAACTTTTAGTGATACCTAAGCTGACATTGGCATCTGTGCAACTCTGGTGAAATGCAAACTTGAAAGTGGTCACCGTCATATGATGCGCTAGCTGAGCCACCTTGGTGGTTTAACCCAGCACCTTTTTTCTCACTTGAGACAGGCTGTGAGTGTGCCATTTACAGCAAAGCAGCTAACGTGGGCTTTTGTTAAGCTGTAGGAACTCAGTTGTATGCCTGTTCTCTTAGGCTAAGCTGGTGTAAGTGAAGCAAGTTCCTATTAGCGTCTAAACTGAGGGTTAGTCCCAGAAAGTAGAACAGATTGTTGAGTTTGTTTTAGCTTAATGGAGACGGTCTATCTAAAACAGGTTGTGGTTTAGTTTCCTGTATTGCACCTTACCTCCTGAATTTTTGGCATGATGCTGAAAAGCTGGTAAATTTTTTTTGTAGTGGATTCTTCAATATAAATTTTGCTGTGGAATTAAAATTGTTTGTGAACTTGTTGCTTATAAAAGCTGCTGAATGATTTATGAAGACAAGATCCCTCTGGTTAACCCACAGAGTTGGTGCTGCCTGATTATAGGGGAGATACTCCTATTGCACGTGTGCTCTTGTCTTGCCTGGAGGGACTCCATCCCCAAATGACAGATGAGTTTGGTCTGTATTGCTTGTGCTCCTTGGCCAGAGTGCAGGAGTTGCAATTAATAAGCCACGTTACAAGGAATTACCTGTTTAAAAATCAAATTGACAACAGCAGTGCATTGCAAGTGCATTAAATCACATTTTAGTGTCCAGATATTCACGATGCAGGGAATAGTTTCTCCTTACTCTGATCTTAAGAAAGAGTAAGATGAGGGTGATGCCAGAGGAGAACTTGGCTGATGTCACAACAGTAACTGTGATTTAAAATGCAGACAAATTAAAGAGCAGAGGCAGCAGCAAGGCAGTTTCCTGCTTTGGAGGGGTTTTTCTCATTATCTTTCCTTTTACACTTCACTATTTTCCTCTGTTTTTCCTTTTATACTTTTATGAATTCCTTGACATAATACCTCATCAGAGTTTTAATTTGTTTGATTGCTATTTGTATAGTGTGGCTCTATCTGCATTGAAAATGAAGGTTGGTGCCTTCATCGGGCACCTGTGAGCAACCGTGGCAAGGAGCAGGTGTGGTTGTGGTGAGGAGCGGCCAACGAGGTGCA